AAATGCAAACTATGACAAAGTATAAGTTAATAATGAGCATGTGTTGTTAACTGTTGATAAAAATAATAGTGATAATAATAATAAATGCCATGGAGCAAACTGACGAGTAGACTGTAGTGTTTCCAAATCATCACACCAGACAGAAGAGGTAGGACACAGATGAACACAGTGGTTTCTTACAAAACTAACAGTTGATCAGGTGTTACATGGTGGCTGAATGATTAATATTTGTTAATAAATGTAAGTTATAAGAAATTATTTATTACATTGATTTCTTGAGTTTTACTCAGTTACTTGATCTTTTTTCTTTTACATTTTTCTTTATAAGCATATATTAGAATAAATGGGTCTATTGTTTTTGTAAGCTACTCGCATACCCATTTACCATCATTTGTTTATACCTGGAGGTTACTTGGACTACAGTTTGGAAATCACTGCTTTACAGTAGTTTTCAAACTTAGAATTGTGGAAAAAATTCTGTTGGATAATCCACTCTATTCCACCTCATTGTTTTTGTGGTGGCACATGTTTTCTTCAAAAGATCAGTTACATTCATTCCATTATTGTCTGTGGTCTTTTATATCTGCATATGTCACCTGACATGGGTCAGGTGGAAAATGGTTTTGTCCAGATTACTTTTTAAAACTAATATTCCAGTAGGAATGATACTACCATGTATGATAAATACTTGGATTTGTGCTTCAAATGGAACAACAGTTGATTATCTTTTGGGCACATAGCATATTTATCATGACTGTTGCTGGTTTAGTCTTAAAAACTTGTAGCTTTGTAAAACCTGGCTTACTTGAGGATGAAACGTGGAATGTAACCTGGATCATTTGTACTAGTTTCACTGTCATCTGCAGGGGGTTATTAGGTACACTGCATTTAGCATAATAGTACTGTTGATGACATTTGGTGCAAGTGACATCATTTTCTGCAAAAGTTTTCTATTTAAAGGTAACTTTTCAGTTTGTTGATACATAATTATGATATGTGCCTTTATCTTTTCAGTCCATAATTCATATGGTATGTGACTTCTAAGTCATATAAACTACTCAGTAACCTATGTGGCAAAACATTATTGGTTTTATAAGTACCAAAGTTTCTTAGTTTTATTGTATAGTGTAATTTCCAAAGTGTAACCACATGATTGACTTACTGAGCAAGTTTCGTTGACTTTTCTGTAAGGTCTGCATAAGATTAGTGTATATGCTCTCCGGTTGTTTTTTGAAAGTTGTACATTTGTGTCACAGGGTAAGATGTACGTTTTATGACAAAATAGTTAGTACCATCTGCAAAAAATATCAAATTTTGATGATTTTCACATCTCGTAATGAAAAATTACATTCTGAAGACAGAATTGTTTCTAAAATGATGCTCACATTAAAAAAAATTATGCAAAGTAAGGAAAATGACTATGACCTCAAAATGAATAAAACTACAAGTAGGCATTCATAAGATTTGATACTTGTGATAAAATAAAGATGTGGCATTAGACAAGTTTGTTTGTACAAATATACCCTATGTTTAGTTTTGTTATTGGTGAAACAACTTCTAGGGTAAATATTTATTTTTGTTCATCACTTGTAGACAAAATTTGTTCTTATAGATCCTTGTTCTTCAGCCTTTTGTAATTGTTTTTATTATATTGCAGATTGTTTTGAGATTTTAATGTTAAACTTCATTACTACCTTAAATGTTTAACTTCAGTCAAGTATTTAATTTTACCTTGTAAAGAATAAAACCTTCTCATGAGAGTAATTTGTTATAAAGTTGATGTTATTGTCATTGGTTTTTGCACAAAAATTACATTAGGTAAGTGAAAAATAAAGTTTCTTCAGTCCTGGAGGACAGGAGATTGGTTTGATGTACCTGTAATGTAAGCTATGTTTTAAAATTGTAAACTTGTATCCATTTTAAAATCTTTTGATATCCCTAATATATGAATTTAATTTTTACGTAGTTGATAAGTATGTAAACTATACACGTTACGTATATGTAAAATACATTTCATTTAGTAATACACCTGTTATAATTTTGTTCTTTAAGTATAAGGTATCCTGATGTTGGTACATAATTGTGCCTGTACATATACAACTTGATATGCATCTTACAATGTTACAAGTGTGCTACAGTACCATATACTCTACTTAAAGAACAAATGCATGTTCACATAAGGTATCCTGATGTTGGTACATAATTGTGCATGTACATATACGACTTGATATGCATCTTACAATGTTACGAGTGTTCTACACATTTGTATGAACTAACTTTTGGTCAATGTTTAAACTATGTAGGAATTATATTCACATGAAACATGTTGTGAAAGAGGTTATTTTTATGTATTTAAAATACATACTTAATAAATATTTTGTTACATTAAAAAAGTAGTGTGTGTTATGTTGTAATATCTGGTAAGTTTTGTGATCTAAACTCATATGAGACTCAGTTAATTAGTTAAGTTTTTAAGAACCAATAGTATGATTATGATAAAATCATATTATTTCCATTGAAGCTTTTAATTTGCTGTAAATTAAAGGTGACCCAAACATATAAGTTATTTTCATTGATTTTATGCCTGACCTGATTGTGCTACTGTATTTCTATATTTAACTTTGTTGTTAACAGCTTTTAGAAATTTTATTTTTGGTTTAGAATTAACTTATGATACAGACAATATAATATGATTATTAGCACCTAACAAATTAAAAAAATGCAATACAGAAAGATGTTCATATGCTAATGTAGTCATGGAATGATTTTGAAAATTCAGTAATTGCAAGACAAACTAAAACCACTCAAAATACGGTTTCAGTTTAAGTGGGGGGGGGGGATTATCTTTCAGATGGCTGTATAGTGAATATTAGAAAATACTGCAAGGATATTTTTATTTATAAAAATATTAAGTAACCTTTCCATGATTTGTTGTTCAAAGTCAGTCAGATGATAATATTAGAACAGTCATTTGTGTCGAGCTTTTGCCAGAAGAATAATGATTGACTGTATAGTTATTATATCTTGAGGTGAAACAAAAAATGATCTTTATGTATTCTTTACCTCTGACATCAGAAAATATTTAGCTTTTTTAAGCCTAATTCATAGAATGATAGATTTCATGTAGTAGACAATTTAGAATTTAAGGGATGAGAAGGTTTTGTTGTTGTTATTTACTAAATATTAATAAAATTTTTAGATTACTGTAATAAGCATAGTGTACACGTTTGTATCATACATTTATTTTATTGTGCATGTAGTTTATTCATGGCTTTCATAGAATGTGTTACTGATGTAAAGAAGCTTTTCTTGAAAAAAAATGTATAATAGATTGTGTTATTTTTAGTGCATGTCTTATGTATCTTGTATTTTTACATTGGACATCTTTTTTTTTCTTTTTTACTTAAAAGGTATTGTTATGTATTATTATGTTTGTAGAGTTGTTACTGTTTGTTTATGCTTCTTTGAATCTAATTTTTAAACTGACTTTCAGATTACATATTGTCTGATGATATTGGTTAGATCTTTTGTTTATTCCAGGTTAATTCAGTGGTTAGCTTCATTTCACTAAGGAAATTAAAGAGAAAAACGTTTTCTAAATGAAACTAGATGCTTTCTAAATACTAATGTTCTATTGATATTAAGAACAACAACATGTTCTTAATTTCTTTCCTTATTATAAAATAATAAGTTATTGGTGGTATTTTTTTCTTTTAAGAGTAGTATAATAATGCTTCTTTGGATATATATATATATATATGTTGGACTAATCCTTTTGGTAAAACTCCACAAGCATATCCAGAATTCCATTAACTAATGCTGTCTTGTGATTATGTTAATATGAAAAGTTATCTTTAAAAAAAAAAAAATTATTTATATCTTTCTACATGTGTACAGTCTATGTGATGTTAAAAGATGTTAAAATTATCCTGTCATTTTCTTTTGGATATTTTCACCTTTGTTAACTCAGATACTGCTAGTTTTGGATATCCTAGTTTAGACTTGGCAATCTGAAGAAGAGAGGCATCAGTCATTATCTTTTGCTACATTTGATGTTAAGTATGATAATGTATACTTTTACTGTAAACCAGGGACTTAGCCAGAATTCAGAAGTTAAATGTTGTACCTTTGCCATCAGGGGGATAATTTAAGTGAAATTTTGTTGTTGGTATCAGGAAGTCAGTTTGTTCACTTGAGAGAATTTAAGTTGTGATATTTTTAAGCCATTTTCTGAATTAGTTATTTGCTGAGAAACAATTAACTACGTTTCACTATTTTTTGTTAACCCAAACAATCCCAGTGTATATATCTCTACTAGTGAACATAACCAAAAACACCATACATATATATGTATAAACATTGCAGCTGATATACTTGTTAATGCTGTCAGAAATTTAAGAAATTACAGTGATTAAGGTTGAAATGGAGGCAAATTTTAACATCAGTCACCATACAAGTAATGTAAAAATATGGGTGTGTTGCCATAAAACTAACCAAATTATCCTAATCCTAGTGAACAAGACAAGAAACATGGAAAACAATGAGAACAAATGGTAGCTGTTGACAGATTTTAAGCCATCAAAATAATGTCTGGCTGGCTAAGTCCATGTTGTAAAAATCTGTTTAGTAGTCTTAAAAGACAAGGCAGTGTGAGATTATTTAAGAAAATTAGCTATTAAGCATTTAGTGGGGAATTTTTTTGGTCTGTTTTAGGATTGCATAAATGTTGTTAAAATGTATTACTACAAAACTTATTCATTATTACTTCATGTAATAATTATGAGTGTTTGTAATTACTGTTAAGGTATACAATGTGGAATTATGTTTTAGTTATCAGTTAATTATGGTCTATCTCTGTGTATCTGATATGAATTGTTTGATTTTACTAAAACTCTACCTGTAGATGTTCCTGTTAAATGGATAAAATACGGGTGCTATAGGTAGAATACTTGTATGGCAGTTAAATGTAAGAGTTTTTTGTTTTTTTTTCTTATTATTAGCAAAACTCAAGATTGAAAGTTCTCTCTGTATGCCTCCTCCAGATGAAAATTCAGGATATGAGTTGGTATCACCAAAAGATCCAGCAGTAATGATGCGGGTGAGAAATGAGTCACTTATTTATGCCTAATTATAATAAATTATTAGTTTAACAAGCAACCTATGACACAATGACAGAAAATGTTACTATTTGGTAGGTGGTGAGGTATCCATTGAAATTTGAAAATTCAGAAGCTTAAGAGTGATGGTTGTGTAGGGAATGATCCAGGGATCATTTTTGCTGTGCTGTTTTCTTTGATCTGAGTAATTGTTAAGGTTTTCTGTTCTGTTAAAGGGACAACCTGCATGCTATGGTCACAAAATTTCACCATTATTTTAATATTTCTCTTGCCTCTCTTCTTTGTAATATTCTTTCATATCACTCATAAAGTGTTTGTATTCCCTGTTTCTTACCTGTTCTTGAACTATTATTTTTCTGCTCTCATCCCTATTTGAGGGCAAGTCATCAGGTGCATCCTTAAGTTTACTACTGCTGTACACAGACATATACTTCTCTTTTCTGTACTTGAAAGCACCGTCTTCAGTGAAGATTCTCTGATTTCTCTTATGGCTATCATTTTGAGCAATTGGTGTGCCATCATGATCACTTCCATGCCTGCTACATTTAACAACTCAGATATTTTGCTATTTTACATTTGCAGGTTATTTTTGATTCTAACTTTCTCTTTAACTCGATAAGAACAAATGTTCAGAGATTCTGGCTTGTTTTCTCATCAGTTCCTCATAGGTTTTATAGAAAGTTTGGGAATGGTGAGTGTTCTATAGATAATGTACAACAATGCCATGACCACTGTCTGATTAGAGTAAAAAGTTACCCAACTCTGCTGACAAAAACTGAAATAAACCTGATGTTACCCAATTATAGGTCAGCATACAGCTCTGGATTATTTATAGAATAATGCACATTTCTGTAGATATTCAAAAAAAAAGACTAAATGCTGGCTATGGTTTCTACAAAGTGGGAACCTTTTAGTAAATGTGGGAAGAATGTTGTGCACAAAAAATAAGGTTTTTTTAGTCAAATGTTTCTACTAAAGATTCCTTTGACAATTTACTGATTTGGTCTGCATGAAAAGTGAATTTCATGATAGGAATATTAATACTTATTTTCAGTTTATTGTTTTCATATTTCATTTGCATAAACTCTGGAGCTTCCCAGGTGAATATCGCAAGTTTTTTTTCTATAACATTGTATATTTTTACCTGCAGATTTCTGTACTCAAACAGTATACTAGATTCTAGGGTCTTTAAAGACATAATTTAATTATAATGAAAAGAATGATTGAAAAACATGAAATAAATTAAGTAACACAGTTCTTTTTTTTCATGTATTGACCATGAAGTTACAACTTATATTTATAGTTTAAAGCTTTATTCTTTTATTTAACATGTTTTCTGTTTTGTTTTATTTTGCCTTATGAAGAATTAATCCCCCTGGACAAAGAAACAATAAATCACAGTGTGAGCCATTACATGGTTTCCAAGCAGACATTAACACCAGATATGAGAATCGCACATACATGCAAAGCTCTTATTATATCCCAGTAAATCAATAAGCTTGGAGGGAAATTTACAATATGGCATAGTATTATCTATAGTATAAGTAATTTGTGCCAAACTTGAGATATCAAGTGATAGAAGGAAAACTATCTAAAATAGGGAATTTGGCAGATGCATTATGGGATACAGAGACACCTCTTAAAATTAAAATATATATTAAAATTTGAATTATAAACTATGTTTTTGTGCAAAGTTTAATGACATACACTCATAATAAAATTTTTAAAAAATTTGTGAGAAGCACACTTTGCAACTGAGTAGAAGAATAACACATGTTCAGTAGACAAATTTATAATTTTATTGTACTATTATTTTGTTAAATACAATGACATTTCAATTACCATGTATTAAATACATATGTATATGTTATTACTGTTTATTCATAAATGTTTAAATTTTATTTTATCTTTTCAAACATTAAACAACGAATAAAAAAGATGTACATAGAAATGATGATTTTTAGTATTTATTATGGTTTGAAATCTACTTGCACTCAAGAAGATGTGGTCACTCAGCCTGGTTGACTTTCCAATTGAGGTGAAGACAAATTAGTTTTTGTAAAATTTAAGATAGGTAGAGATGAGTAAATAAATGACTCCAAACGACAGAAAGAATGGGAGGGGCTTCTCTGGTAGGTTTGTTAAATATATTGATACCCCAGTACATCAAAAAGGCTTGTTCTAGCTTGCCAATATGTGAAGTTTTGAGTTTCTAGTTGGTTAAGCACTGTTGAAATTGTATGTTAGAAGTAATAAAATTTAAATTGAACAACTTGCATATCAGATGGGTCATGTGACATACAAGAGAGAGTATTGAGCATTCTTTTTAAATATTTGATTTGGAATTAAGAAATTAAATCTTATTTAATATTAAAATCTGATATGTTAACTACATTTTTGATGCCAAGTTTTCTGATGTTAAAGTAGTTTAATACAATTTTGCATGTGAGAAGTCATAACATGCATATCTTGACCCCACCCAGAAACATAGGGTTAATGTTAAGTACCTTCCAGTTAAAATGTGATATATTAGGTTGTCAAGAAATTAATGTCGCATTTTGGAACACTTTCATTAACCACCCCAAAAAAAATGTACATCACATATAATAGTTAGACGAACTGCCTAAACGTCATGTTAGTGTAGCCTATATAATGTGTAAAGTTTAGTATACTCTAATCCCTTATAGTGATAGCATACGATGAGACACACAATCGGCATGTAATGCTGTTTGAATACAAGAAGGAAAACAATGCCTCTGTAACAACAAATAATATCAAATAAGTTTATGGAAATGTTTTGAATGTTCATAAGTCTCAACGATGGTTCAGCAAATTTCATTCAGGTGACTTTAACCTTAAAAACTATGATGGCAGGGGCCGACATGTTGGAATTGATATTGATGCTTTGACTAACCCAAGGCAACACACTTGTGAAATGACCCTGAAATTGCATGTTTCTCATGAAACTATACGTAAACATCTAAGGAATATGGGAAAACTCCATAAAGAAAGTGTTTGGGTGCCTCATGAACTCTCCAATGATCATCGTTTACAAAGTGTGAACATTGCTTTGTCTCTTCCGGTTTGTGAACCATTTTTGAACAGAATTGTCACTGGTGACAAAAAAATGGATTCTCTATGCAAATATTAAATGCCAAAAACATTGGTTCATTACTAGACAAAAACCACTTCTGACCCCAAAATCTGGACTCCATCCATAGAAAGTGGTGCTTTGTATTTGGTGGAACATCAAAGGACTAATTCATTTTGAACTTCTCAATCCACAGGGAACTGTCAATGCAGAGATTATAGTCAGCAACTGGAACATTTATATCAAGCCCTTCATCAAAAATGCCCTTCTCTTGTCAATGAGACAATGCACATCCACATGTGGCATGTTTGACACAACATAAGATTATGGAGCTGGGTTGGGAAGTTCTCCCCCACCCACCATATTCTCCAGATATGGCACCATTAGATTACTATCTTTTTCATTTGCTGCAAAACCATTTTAATGGGAAAACGTATGTAAATGTGGAAGTTGTTAAAGAGGACATTGACATGTTTTTTGCTTCAAAGCAAGTGATTTCTTTAATCAGGGCATTAACAACCTGGTTGTAACACGGAAAAGCATCATTGATAAGAATGGAAAATATTTCATTTAATAAATGTTTTGTTTTGATATATAAGTTGCTCGGGTTTTTTTTCATCTAAAAAAAGTGACATTAATTTCTTGATGACTGAATATATATATCACCACTTTATATCATGGTTATAAAATATCTCAATTAATCATAGAGTTAGGTAACAATCCCTATGTAGGGATGAGTCTGGTTGAAATTGGCAGCTTGTACATTTTAAACGTGGTAGTACACACGCTAGGACATTGACAAAACCTGATCAAAGGAACAGCAGAAAGCCCTTCACTAATTAGGGAGTGCTGTAGCAATCCCTATGTAGGGATGAGTCTGCTTAAAAGTTGTGGCCTGTACCTTGCATATGGTAGTGCATATGCCAGGACATCTGAAAAACCCATCCAATGGGGTAGAGACGAAAAAAGCCCTTCACTAATCAAGTACAAAGCTGCCTCTAAAGTTTGGCTAACCTTCCTTAATGTCCAGAAAATGGGCCATGAAAACATCGAATTTTTCTTTTTTCATTCTTATCTGTCAGCTGTAACTCATAAACCACAGTGTGCCTACAACCAAAATACTTCTTTACTCCCTAGAGTGTGCCTTTTCAAACCTAGAGCAGCATGTCGTCAACTATAGGTTAGTTACGGCACAAAATATATGCAATGATACAGAATGTTTAATTTTGCCCAATACACATATCAATCAATAGATGGCTCAACCTCTGATGTTAATCTACTCAGATTCAACATGTTTTGTAATATGTAAGTTGTATGTTTGTCAGTGAGCATAGTAGCAATCCTTATGTAGGGACGGGTCCAGTTAAAAATGGCAGCCTGTACATTTCATATGATAACACATACACTAGGACCTTCAGCAAAACCCATCCAAAGAGATAGAGATGACAAGCCCTTCACTAATCAAGTACAAAACTGCCTCTAAAGTTTAGCTAACCTTCCTTGACGTCTAGAAAACTGGCCGCAAAAACATTGATTTTCTTTTTTCTTCTTCTCCGTTAGCTGAAACCATGGTCATTAATAAATGAAGTTTTGTGAAATATACACTTGTCCTTTTTTTTTTTACTCAATTCTGTAATTATGGAGTTTCATCAAGTACTAACAGTTTCAAGTATCAGTTATATAATGCAGTTTTATTTGTAATTTTTATGTGTTATTTTATTTTTTATCGAGATTCCTAAATTAGTAATTTAGTGACATAAATTTGTATACCTAAAGCATTCTAAATGTTTGTTGTAGGTGGAAAATAAGCTACCTTTAACATATTAAATGATATAATTGCCTTACATATACAGTACCAATTTCAAAACTGAATTCACAAGAAAAATAAAAGATTAATAATGCTATTAAAACATGTAACAATTGAAACCACTTTTGCAAAACATAAATGAGGTTTCTCAATTAGTTTTTTTTTTTTGTTGCTATGTCCATATATTGTTTTGTAAGAAAATATATCATTTACTTCCCAAGTTCATTCACAAACAACTGTGGTCAACATTAAATATGAATTGAGAAAGTTTAAACCATTATTATATGGTTTGTTTGTTGTTATTTTTTGTGGAGGGAGGGGGATACATTTATTTTTACACTTGCTTTTTAATAAAGTACAAAAATTGTTGTTTTACTTGAGTTAATTGCAGCAAATGAACAGTGAACTGTAAACTTTACCCAAGAATTATTCAAAATTATAGAAAGCTAAAACTTCAAAAAGTGTGAGGAAAAGGATTGGCAAAAATCAATGACCAAAAATCAACATAGTAGTATCCTATAGAAGTACTTTTTATTTTGTCAGGATTAAAATCATGTCAATAGGGTCAACAAAAACAAAATAGTGAATGTTTATATTTTGTCCTCAGAGAGTGCTGTTGTCTAACAAAAAAAAAAAAAAAAAAAAGTTTTAGCATGTTGAACTACTTTTAAGATAATTTCGTGTAGATTATGGTTGTTTGAAAGTACTAATGAAAAAACTAAAGAAAATGGCAGAACTTCCTTATTGTTACCACAGTTTTGAATATTCAAACTAGTTTTTAATAGTAAAACATCTTCAGATATTACTTTATGACATATCAAAATATCTTAAGAAATTCAACTTGAGAAGGAGTTGACTTTTCAGAATCATCTTTGCATAATCAATAACCTTTGTTGTATAAAACAACACCTTCTCTGGCAAAATGTAATTTTTCTACCATTTTGTTTCTGTTGTCTACATTGGCCTGAGATTAGAGTACAAAAATTTCATTTTTTTTTCTCTGTGTTTCAATGAGATACTACTTGAACACTAACTCTAGTATTGACTTTTTATCACTGATCTTGCCAGTCCTTCTTTAGAATTGAGCACTTAACAGGGAGCATAAATTATTTCTTTGCAAAACAAAAACTCCATGATATATTGCTTAGAAACTTAGTTTGTAAGGTTCAAAGAATATTGGAGCATTTTGCTGAAGCTAAATAAAATGGAAGGATAATATGATTCAAAGAATTTGAATATCGGACTAATTCAAATAATCCCTAGCATAGAAATAAATAATAGTTATTATTATTATTAGTTTATTTTGAAGTTTGTAACTTATGGATTAAAAATTATAAATGGCCAGACCCAATTGAAAATTTTTGGCACCAAGTGACAAATACAGTTGTAAAAGAAAACCAACCACTTTATGGCTACTTTAGGAAATTATAGCAGAAATGGAAATACCAGTTGATAATTCAAATAAACTAGTGTTGTTCATGCATAATCAGTGTAGTAATTTTATTTATTATGTTCCAAAATGAATTATCATAATCTGATATTGTAGTATTTAATATGAATATATAATGTAAATCAAAACACCACTTTTTTTGCAATATTTTTCATATTTTGAGTGTTGATACTGTTGCGTCATCGAGATCACGTGACAATTCTCACGCTCTCTTGTTTCTAGAACTATCCCGTATCT